GATGTGGGTTACAAGAGTAGATCTACCACGAGATCAAGGAGGATAAACCCTAGAAGCTAGCCTATGGTATGATTGTTGTTGTATATATCTCTATCGACTAGCCTGGCCTCGGTTTATATAATGCACCAGAGGCCTAGGATAACAAGAGTCCTAGCCGAATACGCCGGTGGGGGAGGAGTCCTTGTCTTGATCGCCAAGTCTTGTGGAATCTTCCTTGTATGCGCAACTGTCTGGACTGGCCCATGAGTATACGGCCATGGGGATCCTCGACCCAATCCAACTGATCGGGAGACGACGTGGTGAGTACCCCCTAGTCCAGGACACCGTCAGTGGGCCTCAGTCCCGTCCCAACCATCTTGTCGCCGTTGGTGGGACGACCGTTGTCCTCTCCCAACTGGCCATCTGTCTCCTCGATGTTGGTGTGAGCCAGAGCCCCACCCAACACCATCGTGCCGCAGGTGGTATCCAGTCCCACCTAGCCAGTTGCCTTAGTACGGATGGCGAGGACCAAATCCCCGTGCCCAACAGAAACTGCATTCCTCACGCCCGGTGTGCTTGCCACGCCTTGAGCTCCATTGTTGCCACCTTACAAATTCGAAATCCCTCCAGTCCTCGTCCCAGAACCATCTGCCGGACCCACGTCACGCGTCAGCCGGTCAAAAGCAGAACTTCTGACGGATAGCCTGTGCCGCACCATCAGGGGAGACCCCACCAGCGGCTCCACCTGTCGGGCAGCCATCAGCGGCAGCCACCACACCCGGCCAGCCTCGCCCACAGCGCCCAGCGAGCCGATGCCAGCGGAGGCCACGCCCATCTCCGGCGAGCCCCGCCTATCACGAACGCCAAACTGCCATGGCAAGCGATGAGCATGCGCGGCGCCGCCAGCGCCACCACCAGAGACACCGAACGGCCCTCCATCGGAGCCAGGGATGTTGCTCTGTCCGCTGTCCAACGAGACACCCAAGAACTGCAGCCCCTCCCAAGCTCCGAACCCTGTCACCGAATCCAGGTGGATCAAGACCTTGTACTGCAGCAACGCATGCTCCATCAGGGGATCGACGAGACCCGGCTCGGGAATGGCCAGCCAGCGAAGGGCGGGGATCGACTCCGGGTGCGCCGTCCATGCCGACAGGTTGAACGCGAACAAGTTTTGATGGGAGTACGTCTCCGGCGCCACCGTGTCCACCAGGCAAGCAAAGCCAAGGAGATCCTCTGCCACCTCCCGGTCCCATGCATGTGGCGGGATGCCCTCGAGAACGAGATCGACCTTGTACCTAAGCACAACGTGCACCGCCTGAGCTTGACGGTCCACTGCCGGAAGTAGAGATGCACGCCCTGATGCTGGAGGAACGGGCGCGAGCCCACGCTGTTGCGGTGCTCAGGGCGCGCGAAGATGACCAGGAAATCTTCCGGCCGGAAGTCGTGCACCGAGACCCACTCCGAGTCGATGCCGGCCTCCGCCACCAGAGCATCGACGATGAACTGTGGGGAAATACCTCGCCTTGCGCCGCCAACATAAGCAACCATGGCATACTTCAGCCGGTTCTCCAATTCGCCCATGGAGCGGGAGCGATGAACCACACAGAGATCCGAGGGGAGCATCTCTTCATATGGGGGGACATCAGCCTAGGTGCCGTGAGACGCGGCCACTCCGGGGCCTGCACCTGCTCCGGGAGCAACGGCGGGGGAGGCGGAGGAGGGGAACTGGGGCCGGCCAACCGTGGAGCGGGCACCGGGTCTCTGCGCACCACCTTCGCCGACGCCGCACGCCGCAGCTCCTCAACCGGGGAGGGGCTCCGCGGGCGCTTGCAGTCCTTGGCACCATGCCCCAGCAAGCCACAACGGAAGCAGATGATTTCGTTGGTGTAGTCAGACTTGAAGTGTCCCTCCCAGAGACACTGGAAGCAGAGCGTCTCCGTGCCCGGCGAGATCTCCCGGCGCGCATGCTGCCGCGAGGCGTGGTGGGAGCCATGCGCAACCGGGGAGTGCCTCCGCCTCCAAAGCTCCTTCCTGGAGGGCCTCGGCAGGTTCCATGGCACGGCCGGTGCCGCAGCA